ATTATTTACTTACTGTCAGCAGCGTCCTTAATGGAGCAGGGTGGCACTCTATAAAAACTGTTATTTACTTACTGTCAGCAGCGTCCTTAATGGAGCAGGGTGGCACACTATAAAAACTGTTTTTTACTTACTGTCAGCAGCGTCCTTAATGGAGCAGGGTGGCACACTATAAAAACTGTTTTTTACTTACCATCAGCAGCGTCCTTAATGGAGCAGGGTGGCACTCTATAAAAACTGTTATTTACTTACCATCAGCAGCGTCCTTAATGGAGCAGGGTGGCACTCCATCAGGTAAATTAATTGTTGGATCCCCGCATCCACATGTTTCATTACTTAAAAGTTGTGCACATTTCTGGAAACATTGCTGACGAAAGAAAGAGAAAAAGGATTTTAGTTTTGTACAAGCATGCAATTAAATTGCGTTTCAACAGCTTAGAGATAAGTTCTGGCATTAATGCTAATTCAAGGTTTGTTCCCTGCAAAGAGCACAGAAGTCAAAGCAGCTTTGTAGAATTCGAGAAATAAATAAAACATTTGGTTTTACGTAGAAATGAAAAGATTATAATAAAACTTTATTAAAAAGTCTTGCCAACTTTCATAAGGGTTAATTTTAAATTCAAAATAATATGCAAAGCTCATAAGTCAAGTGAGAGGAATAATTAACTTTAGATATATCCATAGTTGTTGTTTTATTGTAACTTAGATTAACTTTTTAAATCATATTTATTGTTATTATACATTTATTATAGAGATTGATTTGCCTTGTCAGTTTAATATATAAATGTATTTAGGACTAACTTAAATCCTCTAACCTGGCCGAACTTCGTCAGATATTATTGGGATTACTGCAGAAAATATCGATAACGGCCAGGATTCCCAAATGATGGAACAATATGAAACAGATTTTAAATGGGTAGCAACTGCTCAAAAGTAGCTCAAGCCAATAGGACCACCTTTCGAAATAGTTCCAGCCAATAGGATCACCTTTCGAAATAGTTCCAGCCAATAGGACCACCTTTCGAAAGACTTCCTGGCAATAGGACCACCTTTCGAAATAGTTCCAGCCAATAGGACCACCTTTCGAAATAGTTCCAGCCAATAGGACCACCTTTCGAAATAGTTCCAGCCAATTGGACCACCTTTCGAAATAGTTCCAGCCAATAGGACCACCTTTCGAAATAGTTCCAGCCAATAGGACCACCTTTCGAAAGACACCCTGGCAATAGGACCACCTTTAGAAAGACTTCCTGGCAATAGGACCACCTTGCGAAAGACTTCCAGCCAATAGGACCACCTTGCGAAAGACTTCCAGCTAATAGGACCACCTTGCGAAAGACTTCCAGCCAATAGGACCACCTTTCGAAAGACACCCTGGCAATAGGACCACCTTGCGAAAGACTTCCAGCCAATAGGACCACCTTTCGAAAGACACCCTGGCAATAGGACCACCTTTTGAAAGACTTCCATCTTCCATTCCACCTGAATTACTTCTGCATATCAGTTCTCCAAAGCTTTCTCTACAGGTGTCACTCTGGAATAAATATTTGCTGCCCATTGAACATTGTTTTGTAATACATTCTAATGTTTAAGAACATGGGTAACGCCTTTGAGAGATTTGGCGGCTGGTCTTATAATAAGCAGGCTTCAGATTCAATAGAGAGTGGTCGACCTAGCTGGTAAGATCTCCAAATGACGTCATCAACAAAATACCACGTTTCGGGGGGAACAGGAGAAGATGGAACATCGATCTCACTAAATGGAATACAAGGAAAAGGAGTAAATAAGTAAGAATGAAATTGCAAAGGGTTTAATTGACTAGTCTGAATTGGGCATTATAAAAAGAAGAACATTGATTAGATTATTGTAACGAGGAGATCAGGTGCTAAGAAGAACATTGATTAGATTATTGTAGCGAGGAGATCAGGTGCTAAGAAGAACATTGATTAGATTACTGTAGCGAGGAGATCAGGTGCTAAGAAGAACCTTAATTAGATTATTGTAGGAAATAAATCAGGTCTTTTCAAATACCCTTTCTTACCACTATCGTTATTCACGAAACAATAAATTGTATGTATATTTATATTTAATATATTTAAAATATTATAGATAATGAGTGTGTATGTGTGTGTGTGTGTGTGTACCAACCATGGGTAATCCGGTTTTTAGTGCTACAACCCTTCAGAATTACCGCAGTGCTACTGGGAACAGTTACAGATAATCAATTAAAATACGTAGATCAAGGTTATATTAAAATATAGTTACTTGTCATTGCCAGTTGAAAGAGACAAAAACTCCTATTATTAAGTAATCACGTGTCTTTATCATGTGACATTTCTTTCCTGTGACGTACTGTTACGGTCCATGAGATATTACGTCAGTAAATCACTACTAACCTGTCTGCTGTAAGAACCTGGTACGTTCTTGTCATCCCTGTAGCATCCTTCACTGTATGGCTCCTGTAAGCGATGATAATCTATCTAATTCAAAACAGAAAAGACAAACTATTAACACAATTGTTATTACAATTGAACCAGCTATTAATATTCTTGTTACAATAAGGCTTTTTGTTAACACTATTGTTACAATAAAACAATTTGCTAACACTATTGTTACAATAAGACTTTTTGCTAACACTATTGTTACAATAAGACTTTTATGCTAACACTGTTGTTACAATAAGACTAATTACTAACACTATTGTTACAATAAGACTTTTTGCTAACACTATTGTTACAATAAGACTATTTGCTAACACTAAGTCTTATTGTAACAATAGTGTTAGCAAATAGTTTTATTGTAACAACAGTGTTAGGAAATAGTTTTATTGTAACAACAGTGTTAGCAAATAGTCTTATTGTAACAATAGTCTTATTGTAACAATAGTGTTAGCAAATAGTCTTATTGTAACAATAGTGTTAGCAAAATTTGCTAACACTATTGTTACAATAAGACTATTTGCTAACACTATTGTGTTATTAAGCCAAAATAAAATTTAGCTTGAATACTTCATACTTGAAAGTGAAAACAGTGCAGGCTGTTGGGAGTTGTACAACATCACTGACAACTTGCAAGTAAAGCAAAAAAAAAGTCCAGTAATTTACAACTGGACATTAACAAGTAGAACAATTTACATTTTAATTGTTATGTCACGTTCAATAGTTAAGTGTCTTTGTTCAGTCTTTTTTTTTGGTTCAATAGGTTAAAGTATTTGAATTGTAAAAATGACTTCCAAAGAAAACTCATCACCACTTTAATGTTTGTTATAATTCATGGTAATCCCCAAAGTTTTTTAAAAAAATTTATCAGCTATACATTCTGAGAGTGATATTTGTATATCACATCAAGGTAATGACCATTATGACTTGAACTGATCAAGCACGTGCTACAGCTTGTACATCTAGAACCACTTGATGCCAACCAATTACAGAGGTTGTGACATACTCCAGAAAATAATATGTATCTTCGTATTGTGTTTGAAATTTTTAAAAAAATCAGTTTTGTGTGAAAAAATAAAAACAATAAAGTTTATTTTATACCAACAAAGTGACCTGTTCAACTAACAACCTACTATTTCTGTTCTGAACATCCACACAAACACACACACACACACACACACATATATATATATACAAACTCCCAATAACGTTGTAACACCATTGTTACAATAAGACTCACTATTGACACCATTGTTACAGTAAGACTACTTACTAACACTATTGTTACAGTAAGACTACTTACTAACACTATCGTTACAGTAAGACTACTTATTAACACTATCGTTACAGTAAGACTACTTATTAACACTATCGTTACAGTAAGACTACTTATTAACACTATCGTTACAGTAAGACTACTTACTAACACTATTCTTACAGAAAGACTACTTATTAACACTATCGTTACAGTAAAACTACTTATTAATACTATCGTTACAGTAAGACTACTTATTAACACTATGCTTACAGAAAAACTACTTATTAACACTATTGTTACAGAAAGACTACTTATTAACACTATTGTTACAGAAAGACTACTTATTAACACTATTGTTACAGTAAGACTACTTATCAACACTATTGTTAAACTAAGACTACTTATCAACACTATTGTTACAGTAAGACTACTTATTAACACTATCGTTACAGTAAGACTACTTATTAACACTATCGTTACAGTAAGACTACTTATTAACACTATCGTTACACTAAGACTTCGTATTAACACTACCGTTACAGTAAGTCTACTTATTAACACTATCGTTACAGTAAGACTACTTATTAACACTATCGTTACAGTAAGACTACTTATTAACACTATCGTTACAGTAAGACTACTTATTAACACTATCGTTACATTAAGACTAATTATCAACACTATCGTTACAGTAAGTCTACTCATTAACACTATCGTTAAAATAACACTTCGTATTAACACTATCGTCACAATAACACTTCGTATTAACACTATTATTACAATAAGAGTATTTAATAACACTATTGTTACAATAAGAATAGCTATTAACACCATTGTTACAATAAGACTACTTATTAACACTATTGTTATTAATAGTTATTAACACCAGTTTTTTAAAAACTCGAAATTTTTACAAAAACAACGATTATTTTATACACAATTCTATAAAAATGAGATTGTTTCCAGTCTTTTTAAATTATCAAAATACAATAAATTATTGTACAAGATAAAAAAAAAGTAGGTAAAAAAAACCCAATGAAACTGGAAAACAATCTTATACACTGTACTTATACTATCGCGTCTTCCTCAGGAGTGTAATGTTTTGCAAAGAAATGACAATTATCAAAACATCAATTTATATATTCAAGAATTTCACGCCATCTATTGACAACATTTATCAAAACATCAATTTACATATTCAAGAATTTCACGCCATCTATTGACAACATTTATCAAAACATCAATTTACATATTCAAGAATTTCACGCCATCTATTGACAACCTTTATCAAAACATCAATTTATATATTCAAGAATTTCACGCCATCTATTGACAACATTTCCATCAGGTCCATCATCGTTATTCAATAATTTAAATTAACTTTTTTTTTAGATTTAATTATCTCAATAGATTCACGTATATTTATACCAATTAAATTTCCAGGTTGTGCTAAAATAACACTTTTTTCCATTGAATTGTGGGATGTCATAATATTGTCATGATAAGAGTATTTACTAACACTATTGTTACAAGAAGACTACCTAGCTTTGCGTTAAATAAAAGTTTTTGTACTAACCGTCCCTGAAGAAGCAGCAATGGTGAATTGTCTGATAAAATGAAAAGTGCTTTACTCTTATTTGGAGAATAAAGGTCGTTTATTTTTTTCTAACGTTATTTTAAATGAAGTAATCTTTGTGTCCAACCCTAGGCTCAATCTGTTGCTTTACTCACTCTATAAGTATGGGCAATAATTAAAAAGAAAAGCTTTTTGAGAAATGTCTGCGCTAAATGTCCCTAATTTTGAAGCGAAATACTAGAGGGAATACAGCTAGTCACCACCATCGACTGCTACTTGGACTACTATAGTCAAATAGTGTGATTGACTATCACATTATAACGACCCCACTGCTGAAAGAGCGTGTAAGAGATTGTAAGTTGATCTCCGTGAGACGAGTGTTAGACCAAAAATATTTCCGGTCAACATTGACGATTTTATCAATTTCGTTAAGCCTGAAAATGAAAATGTTTCGACAAAAGCTTTGGTAAATATATATATATATATTAACTGCTGCATCGAGACGTCAGACGCACAGAGATGCGCCGCCGCGGGCCTAAACACAGTGACTACAATAAATTAAGCTTTACTCTTGCGCCAAATAACTAAGACGGCCGCGAGGTTTTAAATGTTTAGAAACACTGACCTTCTGTACAATGCTATTGGACGTAAGCTAATAGTGCTCATAACGTGAGTTTTCTAGTGGTTATTTATGTGGAATGATTACATCATACAGTACCTGATCAATGCCGATAGAGAGCGATGATTCTGGCTTGATGTCTATACCATCGTTCTCCATATCCGGCATAATGTACGGGGAATGTATTATAAGCTTCAGTTTTAAACCATTCTCAGCCAATTCATTCGTTTCAAAAACTTGAATACCAAACCAGAGATTTATACCTATAATAACATAGTCATACAGTGTTACCTGTAATAACATGGTCATACAGTGTTACCTGTAATAACATAGTCACACAATGTTACCTGTAATAACATGGTCACACAATGTTACCTGTAATAACATGGCCATACGATGTCACCAGTAATAACATAGTAATATAATGTTACCTATAATAACACTTGTGTGACCATGTTATTACAGGTAACATTGTGTGACCATGTTATTACAGGTAACACTGTGTGACTATGTTATTACAGGTAACACTGTGTGACTGTGTTATTATAGGTAACATTGTGTGACCATGTTATTACAGGTAACATTGTGTGACCATGTTATTACAGGTAACATTGTGTGACCATGTTATTACAGGTAACACTGTGTGACTATGTTATTACAGGTAACACTGTGTGACTATGTTATTACAGGTAACACTGTGTGACTATGTTATTACAGGTAACACTGTGTGACTGTGTTATTATAGGTGACATTGTGTGACCATGTTATTACAGGTAACATTGTGTGACCATGTTATTACTGGTAACATTGTATGACTATGTTATTACAGGTAACACTGTGTGACTGTGTTATTATAGGTAACATTATATTACTATGTTATTACTGGTAACATCGTATGACCATGTTATTACAGGTAACACTGTGTGACTATGTTATTACAGGTAACATTGTGTGACTATGTTATTACAGGTAACACTGTGTGACTTGTTACCTGTAATAACATGGTCACACAATGTTACCTGTAATAACACAGTCACACAGTGTTACCTGTAATAACATAGTCACACGATGTTACCTGTAATAACATAGTCACACAGTGTTACCTGTAATAACATAGTCACACAGTGTTACCTGTAATAACATAGTCATACGATGTTACCTGTAATAACATGGTCACACAATGTTACCTGTAATAACATAGTCATACAATGTTACCTATAATAACACAGTCACACAGTGTTACCTGTAATAACATAGTCATACGATGTTACCAGTAATAACATGGTCACACAATGTTACCTGTAATAACATAGTATATAATGTTACCTGTAATGACATAGTCATACGTTGTTACCTGTAATAACATAGTCACACAGTGTTACCTGTAATAACATAGTCACACAATGTTACCTGTAATAACATAGTAATATAATGTTACCTGTAATAACATAGTCATACAATGTTACCTGTAATAACATGGTCACACAATGTTACCTGTAATAACATAGTCATACAGTGTTACCTTTAATAACATGGTCATACAGTGTTACCTGTAATAACATGGTCACACAATCTTACCTGTAATAACATAGTCATACAATGTTACCTGTAATAACATGGTCACACAATGTTACCTGTAATAACATAGTAATATAATGTTACCTGTAGTAACATGGTCACACAATGTTACCTGTAATAACATAGTCACACGGTGTTACCTGTAATAACACAGTCACACAGTGTTACCTGTAATAACATAGTCATACGATGTTACCTGTAATAACATAGTAATATAATGTTACCTGTAATAACATGGTCACACAATGTTACCTGTAATAAAATAGTCACACGGTGTTACCTGTAATAACATGGTCACACAATGTTACCTGTAATAACATAGTAATATAATGTTACCTGTAATAACATAGTCACACAATGTTACCTGTAATAACACAGTCACACAATGTTACCTGTAATAACACAGTCACACAATGTTATTTGTAATAACACAGTCACACAATGTTACCTGCAATAACATAGTCATACAGTGTTACCTGTAATAACATAGTCACACAATGTTACCTGTAATAACACAGTCACACAATGTTACCTGTAATAACACAATCACACAATGTTACCTGTAATAACATAGTCATACAGTGTTACCTTTAATGGTTTACAGTGTTAGTTGTAATGATATTTATGGTTTTTACAGTGTTACCTTTAATGGTTTACAGTGTTAGTTGTAATGATACTTATGGTTTTACAGTGATACCTTTAATGGTTTACAGTGTTAGTTGTAATGATACTTATGGTTTACAGTGTTAGTTGTAATGATACTTATGGTTTACAGTGTTAGTTGTAATGATATTTATGGTTTTTACAGTGTTACCTTTAATGGTTTACAGTGTTAGTTGTAATGATACTTATGGTTTACAGTGTTAGTTGTAATGATATTTATGGTTTTTACAGTGTTAGTTGTAATGATACTTATGGTTTATAGTGTTAGTTGTAATGATACTTATGGTTTACAGTGTTAGTTGTAATGATACTTATGGTTTTACAGTGTACCCTTTAATGATACTTATGGTTTACAGTGATACCTTTAATGATATTTATGGTTTTTACAGTGTTACCTTTAATGATACTTATGGTTTACAGTGATACCTTTCATGATATTTATGATTTTACAGTGTTACCTTTAATGGTTTACAGTGTTAGTTGTAATGATACTTATGGTTTTTACATTGTTTTCTTTAATGACACTTATAATTTTACAGTGTTACCTTTAATGGTTTACAGTGTTAACTGTAATGATACTTATGGTTTATAGTGTTAGTTGTAATGATACTTATGGTTTACAGTGTTAGTTGTAATGATACTTATGGTTTACAGTGTTAGTTGTAATGATACTTATGGTTTTACAGTGTTAGCTGTAATGATACTTATGGTTTACAGTGTTAGTTGTAATGATACTTATGGTTTACAGTGTTAGTTGTAATGATACTTATGGTTTTACAGTGTTAGCTGTAATGATACTTATGGTTTTACAGTGTTAGCTGTAATGATACTTATGATTTACAGTGTTAGTTGTAATGATACTTATGATTTACAGTGTTAGTTGTAATGATACTTATGGTTTCACAGTGAGACCTTTAATGATATTTATGGTTTTTACTGTGTTTTCTTTAATGACACTTATCATTTTACAGTGTTACCTTTAATGGTTTACAGCGCTAATTGTAATGATACTTGTGGTTTATAGTGCTAGCTGTAATGATATTCATGGTTTTTAAAGGTTACCTTTCATGAAACATATGGTTTTACCGTGTTAACTGTAATGATACTTATGGTTTACAGTGATATCTTCAATGATATTTATAATTTTACAGTGTTACCTTTAATGGTTTACAGTGTTAACTGTAATGATACTTGTGATTTTTCGGTCTATTAACTTTCAACAACACGGGCCTGCGAATTTAAACTTCATTAAAGTTGTTTTAGTTTTAATAACCGATTTCCTATAGTTCAGCTACGTGAATTTCGAAAATAATATTCAGTTTTTCTGTTACGTAAGGATTTTTTACAAATCATAAATATGACAGAAGTGTTTGGGTCATTTACACAACCTCTTGTTGCCATAGCGACCAATAAATATAAATAATATTGAAAAGAAAAAAATAATGTCAAAGTGCACGAATAATCAAATAATATCCCGAAATAACATGTCATGCGACCTGTTAACCGTTTATATACTAGCGGTGTGTTTCTTGTGGGTGCTAGAACGATCATTAAGACTCTCACATAGCGATTGGTCTAGAGTAATCCATAGCCAGTGGTTGTTAACATTTTAACCACAACAAAATGTGACCAGATTTCAATGAAAATGATTCACTTGTGTAAAAGTACATATGACGTTTTGTGAAAAATCTGTACGTGATAATAACAATAGATATCCTTTTGGGATTCAGCGTACAGGATTTACTGTAGAACATGTAAACATTTCAAGACAATACAACAATCGTAGGCCTGTGTAATTGATGATCTCCCAAATACCACTTTATTAACTTTTGGTGAATGCAGCTCAAAGGTCAACCACTTTCGCCGTAATGGTAGCAAATTGGTATTTTAAAAAACCTACTATTTCGAGAATGAGGAATTGTTTACGATGAGGGACGGCGTGAAATCCACAAAACAAGGAAACAACGTTTTATATTATCCTGTTTTGGTGTTATAATTAATTTCCTTATTTAATTGTGTGTTTACGTAGGATACCTTTTGAAAACTATTACAACAGTTGGTAGAATCTGTGTTTTTGTCTTACCTTAAAATTGTATAATGTACTACTTGCATTGTGTCTGCGCTAGGATTAAACACAGAATTCTAGCATTGTAGTAAGAGCAGATGAGTAGTTTTTCAGTAACTTACATGTGCTTTATCTTATAGTCACCTTTAATATTCAGTGTTGTGTAGGGCAAATGTTCAGGGCACTGACTCTTGTGTTGTATAAAGGTGCACGTTATCGCTCACTTGATAAACAACAAGCCGAATTCTGTGTGTTGTCTGTTTACTTATATTTCAAATATATTAAATAAATACAAATTCTGGAAAATATGTTCTATTTAAAAATTCTATGTGAGCTAAAACAAACTCTTTTCAGTTTAAACGCCATTTTTTAATTCGTAATAAATTTTTTCTCGTAAATCGTTTACAGTCGACAAATTCAACGACAATAAACAAGAAGGCTTCATTAATTAGATATTGGGGTCTGATGAAAGTCTTAATTAGACACATGGAGAGCTATGATGATAGACTTCACCATGCAGTAATTATGTAACATAACCGGAAAAAATTGTTTGTTTTGTTTAATTCCGTACAAAGCTACTCGAGAGCTATCTGCACTAGTCTTCCCTAATTGGTATAAGTAGCTCAGAGTTTCATGGCTAAAGTAGATAGCCCTCGAGTAGGTTCGCGTGAAATTCGACAGACAAATAAGCAATGTATGCACAAATTAAATAACCAATCACTACTAGGATTACAGTTAACTTTTAAGAGCCTTATCAAAACTCAGTATATTAATCTGTGTTTTTTTTAATGCAGTTCAATAAAAGATAATTATAATTTGTTTAAATCTTTACCAGTGAGGGGTAAAAGAAAGAAATGTTTATAAATACTGCGAAGTTTATCCGTAATATACGTCACAAGCAAAAAGTACCCGTCCCCAGTGATAGGAAAAGTTTAAGTTAATCTATCAATTTAAATC